TAAAAAAATAAATGTAAGTAGCTGGCATAAAAAAAATAATTAAAAATTTCAATTATTAAGTTGTCATATAGTCGCGACTATTTTCTATCAGCGTAAATTCGACGGGACTGTCATCAAAGTAAAAATGTTGCCGTTCAATTGTAGAACGTCCCACGTGAGATGACCATACGTGTTGTACGCTACATCGGATGATTCAGGAATCACGTTTCCTCGTGTTGTAACTACGATGTAATGAACGGCCCTGTCGACTCTTATACGACCGATATCGGCGCCAGCGTCCGCATGCAAAATAGTATTTAAAGCACGGCCTCGCGCGTCTAGCTCTTCGGCTGTATATCGTGTACATTTCACAAGCCTGAAAATAAAGTTTCCGCCCGTGGATCTGCTCTCCCGGGAGCGTGAGGTCCTATCCTCGCTGGTACACTAGAAATCGTTCGGTTTATGCTTTCGCGATCTTGCCTCTCTCGCTGTTCGCAATTCCAGGCCAATCTGGCCGAGAGATACAGAAGTGTCTGGGGAAATCCATTGTTTAAACAACTGCAAGAGACAGATGTGTGTATGTAATGTGAGAGAAAGGAAGAAGGCTGGGGATCTTCCTGCCCATCCCATGGGAGATGCCGGACTTGGCTTTCAACCCCCCGTCGATCTTGGTCTCCGCGCATTTAGTAATTGAATGAGGGATGCACACGAGCGTTCGGCGATCGAACTCAAAAGATTTCCTAATACACATAACTATTTTGGATTTTCCAAATCACTCAATGCTTCAGGAAAGCATCTCGTTATACCTGCGTGTCACATTTGTGTGTGTTGTGACCATTTAGAAACTCCAAACTTTACTCCACTCTCTGAAAAATATTGATTTTATATAAAATTATTCGAAAAATATTCGCTTAAGAAAATGGATTCTGTTAAAAGTATCTACTCTACAGATTTATATGATTTATAAGGGGTCTAAGGAAGATCAAAAGATAAACTTAAGATACATCAAATAGAATTGTATAACGTTCGTGCTGCGCGCTAAACAGATTTTAAATTGGAAAGAGAATATTCAAACTGATGACGAGATGACTTGGGGGTTTGAAAAATATAACGTCCGCTAAATCGCGATTTGCGGCGGCCGCAATTATGTTTACATGTACATTGAGATTGTAACGGTGTCGACTTGCGAGCGTTCGCATATGAAAGCCGTTCAAACATCGACTAAAATTAAACGCGTCGTGCCAACGTCAAATCCGACGAACATTTGGCAAACGAGCGGCTAAGCGTTAGAGGCAACGAAAACGATACAATTTCTTATCGCTGCAATACGACGGATAATATTCGTGCGCAGAAACGTCATCCGCAAGAATTATTACACGAGTTTCGCGACAGAAACGGTACCAGAAACCCCTGTTGGGACTTTATCAAGTGCATGTAACAGGAAACGACGTGTATATATATGTATACACTCGCGACATGAATATACGAATTTAACAACTGGTAAGACAAATTTACCACAAATTTAATTTAGAATTTGCACGTTTCGAATCGATAACTCTAAAACCACGTGTGACTTCTTCGCCATCGCGTGCCGATGATATCGGTATTTCACGGTGAATGTTAATCCCACGACGCGCTCTTGTCCAATTTCCTTGCCGTGTAAAATACTGTGTGCGCACAATGCAATTTGAAATAATAGCTAAACGGCCGGCTCGTGATCAATACGGTCTACCTCGTAATTAGTACGGAGCAGGGATTGAAACCGACGTATGTTCCGACATGTCAATTTTCGGCTGAAACACGCTGTAAGCCGAAATGAATCTGATGAAAGGATTTTTCGCAGAGCTATCGCGGGATTCGGAATATTTTTTTCAACGGATAGATAATTTACTAGTCACTCGTTTACATTTTCTATTAAACGCTCTCTATTGCACCTCACTCTCAAGTTCTTGTCAAATGAGTGACAATTTTGGTCGAATCGATGAAATTCTCTCAAAAATATATGAATGTTTAAAATTATTCTTGGTTACTGCATATTGGCGCGTTCGGCTGCCTCAACAAGCTACGTTCCTGGGTGGAGAAATGGGTTCATCGACTCCAACGTGAAAGAGCCGAATAACCATGTTGCTACCTTTGTACTCTTCCAATGGCGTGCTTTATAAAAATGAACGGAGGACACGTCGTAACATAATGATTGGTGGTTCTGTGATGTAATTTAGCTGCCACAAACATTACGTTATTAATATTTCAATTACTATCGATTGCAAAATAATTGCGTGAGAATATCAACTGGTGTAACGTTCAGCGTACGTACGAAATTGAATAAATAGCAAAGTCAGAATCGCGGAAGGAGCGAAATCTTCGTCTTCGAGGAGACCCTTATTGTTGAATTAATTGTTGAAAAAGACCAGAATCATTTATTTAAACGTGAACAGTTGTTGAAGCTACGAACAAAAGTACCTAGAAACGACGCCAGAGGAGTAAATCTTGGTGCAAGAAAAATATTATTATATATAGCAAAATTCAGTTGGACGTATTCAGGGTGCACTGCTGCACATTAAAGCTGTCTTACATAAATCTACGTAAAGATGTGTGCTTAATATAAATATAGAAGCAGGTTAAACCACAAAA